ATAGACACTCTTTAGAAGCATCATGCAATGACCCGAGCAATAAAACAAGCCATAGCTACTAGGGAACATGGAGCAAAGGGAAGATTTTTATTTAAAATGGAGATATTCTAGCATATTTTATGTTTAAGAGGATATTTCAATAGAGAATAATAACTTGGTGTCTCCTGGGAAACAGGCCTGGATTTCTGAAGTCGAACAGATGAGGAGTAAGTTCCATACCAGGTAGACCACTCTTGGAATCAGAGGGTGCTGGGAGCCATTAGCCAAGTAGGTATGACAATTTCCTTGCCAGCGTACCCCATGTTGCTGACATTTTGCAGTGACATTGAATGTAGGTGACCTTGCTCAAGGACCAGGGCGGATTAGGGTGTTCCCGGTTTAAGATAATCGGGTTTAGGGCGTTCCCAGTTTAGGTTCCAGGTTTAAGGTTTAAGATTATTCCTGCTGGGAATAGGGCGTATCCTGCTGCCTGAGTTCCCCTTGAGTTCTCACGGGATTCAGACAGTATATTTTGGGAGAGAGAAGCCCAGTGGAGGTGGATTTGGGCAGAGAACGTGGATTTCCCCAGAACGTGATTGTAGATGGCTGGTGTGAGTTCGGGAATAAAGAGTTGCTGTTTGAATCTACAAGCTGTGTGGTGGCTCGTGATTGTGTGCCCAGCCAGACTGCGGCATTTGTGCCCAGCCAGACTGCGGCAAGAGGGAAGGTTCTAGAGAATATAGACAGAAATGCAAGATTCAAGCGTGGTAGAATTTGATGGTAAAAGGGTATGGTAGTTCTGTCAATAGGGTTTATTTTTCTCTGTGAAATAAGTAGGTCATTTAATTAATAGGACAAGGAATATTATATGTTCAAGTGGGGAGAATGAAACTATTGTCATAAAGACTGGGAAAGTGACTCCACTGGGAAGCCTTAGACGATAGTAGGACTGATACAAGAGCTTTGCCCATTTGAGGTCTGAGATTAGTCAGGTATCTGTTTCCCTCCACCATGTACTTTTCTTGTTATTCACAGAATGTTAGGCATTCTTACTACCTCATTGTACAGACAAAGAAACTAAAACAGTGAAGTGATATACTTTGCCCAAGTTTACACAGGAAGGGTAAGCTGGCTATTCCTGCCACCCTGGCCCCCAGCACTGAGATACAGCAGTTCAGGTCTCCCCAAGTCAGCAGGCTTCAGGAGGCATCAGAGCACAGAGCAGAGGGAAAGAGCTTTGAAATCCCAGATACTTGTCTATTTCCCACAGCTCAATAGTTAAACTTGGTCACTTATGTATGTACTTCATAATTTAAATTAAGACAAGGAACTAACTGCAGCATATTTTTTAAAACAAAAAAACACTTGTATTTAAAATAATGATATCTTATTTCTCTGCCTTTATTGGGAAGGAGAAAAATTTTCCTTAATAAACATCCCGAAACAGGATTTTATAACCTTTCTGTGGCAATATTTCCTAAAATGTTTTCTGAAGGTATAATATAACATGTCTCAAAAAGATTATCCTTTGAGGCTCTAATACTATGGAAAATATTATGACATTCTCCATTCACTTGAGATTCTTAGAATTTTTAATAGCCCTACATGGTGTTAATATACTTTTGACTATGCATGAAATGTTTCCAGGACATTGCTAATGATTTAGCTGCCTTCTTCCACATACCAAACAATTAAAGTTTAGTTTAAATTCCAGCAACTGCCTTCTTTCTTCCTATTCCCAATTCATTGCTATAACTTTAAAAGAACTGGAAAATAATGCATGAGCTTACATATAGGAGTTATGAAGCAGCCAGAGATTATAAAATAAATAAATATGCTTTTAGTAACCCCCAAATAAAATTATCTGTTTAATCTCCTAACTTGATGACTGATGCTTCCAGAAGTCTGATCTGGATATTTGTATAATAGATTTACCACATTAAACAAATGTCACCTGTTTGAAGACCATAAATGTCTTACTTTTAAGAAACTGGAAAGAATGATTTGTAAAATTGAAAACCTTCTTTCTCCTAATCCAGGTTAGTCCATGTTCTCCTGCCCAGTTCAGTAGAATCAAGACAGTGTGCATAAAGACATAGAAGCCTGTGGGAGATGGGTTTTATGACCTTTGACACCTTCTCCTGACTCCCATTGTCCCCCATGGTGGCTCTATCATTTTATAGGCTCAGAGTTGCTGAAGAAAAAGTCCCTTGAAGTAAATCACAACTAAGAGTTTAGAGGAAGAATTTACCTGACAAGAGACACTCGGTTCTCTTTACAGTACCATTGCATGGAAGTAGAATGTGACCGGTCTGTATAATTATTTTTTTCTAGTAGCCACAATTTTTAAAGTAAAAAGAAACAGGTGAAATTTGTTTTAGTAATATAATTTATTCTGCCAATGTTTCTTGCATATAAAAACCCCTGAAGGGCTGGGATTGTGGCTCAGTGGCAAAGTGCTTGCCTTGCACATGTGAGGCACTGGGTTCCATCCTCAGCACCACATAAAAATAAATAAACAAAATAAATATATTGTGTCCATGTATAACTAAAACAATTTTTAAAAGCATTTTTAATAAGATAGTTCACATTCTTTTTTCATATTAAGCCCATCTCAGTCAAGCCAAGCCATGATTCAAGCCCAGATTTTAAAATTGCTGGACATGTGACAGAGTCACTCCTTTGGGCAGAGTTATTCTCAATCTTGAAATGTACTTCTTTTTGATAGGATAAAATTGTGTCTTGGATTTGATTCTGATTGATACTATCATTGATGATACATTTTTTGTTAGTTAACTGTTTAAATAACACACTCTTCCTTTTCCAAAGAGTTTCTCATGAATTGTCTTGTCTTTGTGATTCTGCATAAGCTTCACTCTTGTTACATTTCTTAATATCACCAGTCTTTATTTTTATTGTGGATCAAAGGCTAGCCTTCCAGCTCTCTCCACCTATCTGAGCTTCACACTTCATCCACAGAGTGGTATTTATCTGTTGTTTTGTTGTTGTTGTTTGTTGATTATTTGTTTTTATTTATTTTGTTTGTTTGTTTGTTTGAGACAGGATCTTACCACATTGCAGCGGCTGGCCTTGAACTTGCAATCTTCCTGTCATGGCCTCCCCAGTAGCTGGGATTACAGGCATGCACCACTGCACCCAGCCATAGAGTAGAATTTCTAAAAAGTAATTAATCATTGCCCAACTACTTAAGGATTATAGAGAAAATATGAAGCCCTTCATGATTTGACCTCTGTCTACCTTGTTTCCTTTCCTTCCACTTTCACCTTTTATACTTCATTCTAAAATTTGCAGATTTCATGAGTTCTCTGAATACAACATGCAGTTTTAGACGTCACGCCTTAAAACATGTTGCTCCTTCTACCTGAAATTATCTTTCCCCTTCACCTACCAGGTGAATTACTGCTCACAGCTGAACCTCAACTTTTAGTCCAGTACAATCTGAATAAATTTATTGACCTGACACTAGCTGCTTAATAGAGTGTATTTTCTTATCCTGTGTCACCATCTTTGTGTCCTGTGACACAAAGCACAGGATCTAACAGTAAAATACATGAGACTTTTTTTATTGTCAATTTAACCTAAATTAAATAAGATCTTTAAGTAGATTCATTAATTATTAACAGGAAGAAATGCTAAAATGAAACAATAATCATTCCTCTTCTTTTTTAATATTAAAATATTGTAGAATTCTGTTTTCACTGTTTTTAATGTCAAGATTGAAAGACTGTTAGTATTTTTATTCGATTTTAATATGCCTCATGTATGACTCATGTCCCCTCAATCAACCTACCCACAATACAACTGAAAGTAAGTACTTGATGGAAATAGTTTAAAACACAAACAAAATTCTTTTATTAGAAAAGCTAACATGTCTCAAAAACCCTACTTCACATTCTGGCAAGTTTTGATAAAATTACACTCACCCTATGCCATTTATCTCAAGATATAAACCAAGATTTTAACAAAATATCAAAATAAAGTATTCAGCTTATTCCACACAAATATTCTAGTTTAATATTCATATGAAACAAACAGAAATAAAATTTTCTGATAACAAGAATCATCTTTCCTGAGATAGCACAGTTACTTGCTGTATAAACAATTACTATCAGACATAAGAGTATCTTTTGTTTTAAGCATTAGGTACCAGCATGAGGATATTTCTTAAGGCTTGTAAAAAATCTAGTTTTACAGCTTCCCAGGAGATCCAACATCTCTTGAGAAGAAAGAAATAACATAATGTAATCAAAAGAAGCTCTTCTTCCCTCTGTCCAGATGTCCCAGTCAATAAAAATGGATCCTAGGAAATTCCACTAATCCTGGAACACTGTCCATAAAAGACAGGGGTGGAGCTCCACATCCCCCTTCCTGTTTCTTGTGGTCCTCTTGGGGTAGGAAAATAAAAGCCAATTGAGACTATTTATGGGGAAGAAAAAAAAGAACAATGAAAGAGGGGAATTGGATGTAAGAATAGAGGCAGGAAGAAAAGAGAAAATAGATAGCTAATAGCACTCCTCAATTAGACTCCATCTAGTACACACTAGTCCTTGAATTGCTTTGGCTCATGTAAAGGTTCAGGACTAGAGAAGCACAGTTTGTTCCAAGTCATGAGTTTCTTTCTAAGTCATATCCAGTGTTGGGATGCCAGATCGTGTTTACCAAGCACCTGAGCAAATACATTGACTGCCAGTGATCTTTTCTGTTTTCTAAAATTGAGTTTCTCAACACAGAGCTTTGCTTTTTAAGTAAATCTTCATTATGCAGAAAGGGTATGTGAGTGAAAGGGTTCTATGCAGGATCTAAAAACATTGCACTTCCTTTGTTATGGTTTTGAAATTCCCCTTTGAGTCACTTAGTTGCTCAATGCTGAAGGGTACTTAAATATAATTACTGTGATAGTAAATAGACTATCCAGCCAGATGCATCTGCAAAACATAGCCTTCTTTTTATAACTACATGTACAGGTTTATTTTAATTGTTTGATTTGGGTTTTTCCACAGCTATTAATATTACTCAGCCCAGCTTCAGTGGCACGGATGCCTTTGGATACACTTCATTCCTGGCTTATTCACGGGTTTCAGACATCAGCTTCAGTTATGAATTCCACTTGAAGTTTCAGCTGGCAAACAACCACTCAGCACTGCAAAACAATTTGATATTTTATACTGGACAAAAAGGCCATGGTAAGATTAAGTGACCTCTGTAGGACTTGCCTCTCTCCTTGGAGAATACTTTAAATATTCTTCAGGGACACTCTCATTGGCCATGGATGAAGAAATTTGCCTAGCTGCAGCCTCCTCCTGTTTTCTAGCATGTTCCTTATAGTCTGAAGCATTCAGTGGTTCTCTGACCCTTTCTGAATTCCTGGTTCACACTAGAGCCAAACATGAAGAGAGAGGCAGTGACCAAATCACAGGGGAAGTAAGTTTATTGACTTGTTCTTTTCTCTGTTTTGATTTCCATATATGAGGAGAGAAGGGAAGTTCTCAGAAAGAACATGGCTTTACAGCATGTTGTGAAAAGAGAATGGGTTGAATGTCCTCAGAAAAAACCTTTACCAATGAAAGGGACAAGAAATTAAGAAAGCACTTGACCTATCACAAAGTATTCCAGTGCCTTACCATTGGTGGGAAATCAACTTAGAAGTTAAATTTGTCTTTCTTAAGTAAAAAACAGGGAAGGGGGAAGGAAGATGGCGGCGAGGGGAGTGCATTGCCCCCGTGTGCTGCTTCACTGTGTGGGAGTATGACAAGTCAGGACGGCTAAAGGATATTTTGTTAGGAATTTCCAGCAATAGTGGGGTGCTCCGGAACCTGGAGGAAGGATTTCCATCGCACGAGGATCAGCTA